TAGGATCTGATACATAATCCGTACATGTTTGCATTTTATGAAGCCCTACATGATATTATATTGAATTAAAAAGTTGATTTTGTATTGGCGCCGTTCATTTGGTTGTACATTAACAATAGCTTAGTATGTTATACGTGAGTTGGGTGAATTTAGTTTAAGATACTGATTGTGTATTCTAGTACACATTTGTGGATATGTTTAATGTAATTCTAAATTATGTATAACATCACCAAGTAATACACATGTACATTGTAAAAATAATAACAATAATAACAACACAGAATGGGGCTTCTATTACAATTATTTCCTCCACTCCCATCTCGGTCTGAAGATGCCTTCCTGGTTCCATTTCAGCAATACATAATAAGATAAAGAAAAAAGACGAAAAAAAGAACGAAGTTCATGTACCGACAATTCAGTGTCCACTAATTAATATTATTATCATCAACATAAATTAATCAAGTGTCTAAAAAAAAAATTCTTTTATTATGTATTCTAAGTTGTAATGTCAATTTTAATTGGGTTTCCTGGATTTCTATTCCATTACTATAATCAGTAATGGGTTTCATACAAATAGTCAAAGATACATCAAACTATCACCTTATTGTCTAACAGCATACATTTTCCTTCGATCCCATTCCATTTGACCTATCAAAGAAAAAAAACAGTCAATGCAATATAAATGTTTCGTTATTTTTAGGAACTTCTAGAATATCAATTATTATTAACGGACGGAATAGGATTCTTCCTTCCCCCGGGTTGTTGTTATCATATTCAACTATACGATACATAAATCCCATCCCCTCCAATTAATTAATCAAATTTACAATGATTTGACTAAACGTTTTATGATCATGAATGATCTTTGATATTATATTTTATAAGCAAATATATATACTTCATTTGTACCATCAACTGAAGAGTTCTTGGTATCAACGATTACACAGAGTTTATATGTACAATCGGGTGTTTTAATATTAAAATTATGTTGTTGAACCCGTTGTATTTGTTAATTTCTCCCCCTAATCAAATTATGTTAATTTAATTTCAATTCAAATTTCTTTTTTTCTTGTTCCTATTCTTGTTCTTGTTCTTGTTCTTATTCTTATTCTAAAAATATGTATATGTTGTCCCTACTATTATATCATCAACAAATATACTTGCTACTGATTTAGATTAATGATCTTTAGTTCCAAATTAAATTTGAAAATCCCAATCGGTAAGTACACGTCATCCATAAAAAAAAACAGAAATCCAAATCTGAAACTAAAAAATTTGATTAACAACAACATGATTAAACTGGTTAGTAAATCATTATCAACAGTTTTTGGTTTAGTTTATGATGATGATTAGAATATTATTATTATTAAGCTTTCTTCTAAGAAACGTAAGTAGAACTAAAAAGCAGAAAAAAAAAAAAAAATAAAAATATTGTTTTTGCTTAGTTAATTTTGTGGTTAAAATTCCCCAAGTTTTGATTGTTGATGAAAATTTAAACCCCAGACGCATAAAGTAAAGCAAACAAAGGGCATTGGGGATTAAGTAAGAAGGGATTCTAGATTTATCGTTGATCTTTTTAGTTACACATGTATGAATACTTAAATATGTATTTACAAAAAAGAAAAATTTGGGTTTGCTTTGGACATAGGTGTCCTGGTTTGCATGTCTGTGTGTGGGTATGTGAAAATCATCAATTGAAACAGGAACCAAATTTTTATAAGCAAGCAATGTGAGAAATAACGATTTGAATGTCTGTTTAATTATCTGCTGAAACATTTTATTCTAACCATTCGTATTATTTATCATTTACTATGAAACCTACATATCAAGATATAGATATTTCGTCGAATAAAAGAATGTGCAACCTAATTGTTGGGGTGGGTAAAAGAAAAAAAATAATTATATACGCTCTTGTTTCTATTAATAATATTCGTTCTTTTTTAAAAGACATATGTATGATGTGCTTGATATTATGGATAAATCATATGCCCACTGAAGTGTCATAATACAACTTCTTGGAATTTTAAAATGACTTTTCTTTTGAGGTACCTTGAGATTCTTGAAACTGACTTGAAGTGTATTTTATTAATTTCCTTTCCTTTCCTCCCCCCCCTCTTTCCGAGTGTATCCTAATGTACCTAATTTAAAATAGATCTAGATCGATCATTCAAGTGAGATGTTCGTAGTTATTAAAGAAAAAATTTCAAGGGGAAATACTCAATATTCGAATAGCTTGAGAAATCCACGATGTAAGGCGGAAAGTTACCCACTTGAAAGATGATAAAATATTAAGATGCAAAATAATGCTTGATAATCGGTCCCTACATTTGAAATCATCCCATGGTTTTGGAATACTACCAACTTATACTTGATGGAGTTTTTTGTTTTTCTTTTTATCGAAATTTCAAACAAAAGTAAACCATCGTCTAAGCTCAACAACTATCTTCTGGTTATCATCAAAATCAGTTACCAAAAGAATTCGATTGCTCGTTTTCTATTTTTTCCAAGGTTACCTGTTGCATTCATATAGATTTAGAATTTGTGAAGAATACATAACAATCAGAGTAATATTATTTCACAAATGGTGTTTCGATAAAACAATTGAAAAGTTTATCGGATACTGATCCCGTGTATATACTCCGTACATTAAGCCTCCCTCTAGAATCGTTATCAAAAGGGGGAAGTATTTACGTTTAAATCATGAATCCATTTCTATAAGGTTGTTATTGTCGATATATGTCTTCCACGCTTACCCGTTTATTATTTATTTTTTGATATTTTGATATTTTGCGCTTTATGAGAACATCTGATTTCTTCTACTAAAATTAATTTGGATTGAGGCAACTTGACACATGAAAGGACTAAAATTTTAGTAATATAAACCATCTTGGTCATATATTAACAAAGATCACAAATACGAATATAGAAGAAACACAACAGTAATGAACAACTATATACCTATTAGGAAAAATTACCATCAAAAAGGAATTTATTTTCGGATTAATTAATTATTACCCCTAGAAGGAACCGGCCCTGAATATTTGATCTTGACATGATGAAAAAAATAAAAAAAAAAAGACAGAGGCCATAAGTGTTAACACAAAGAGTAACTTACTACTTGAAATAGAGACAGCTTTTCCCCGTTCCAGCTTAATTTTCTTTAATGAGAGACTATACAACTTTCTTTCATGACTTGATCAGCTTTGAATAGACGACGAAAATGGGACTAAAAAAAAAAGAAAAAAAAAACTATAATTCATTATGACAATGCATTAATATGATTATTGTTTTTTCTTTTTGATTTCTAGACTATACAGATATTATCAGGTAATAATTATTCTATATTAGATTGAATAATCGAAGTACAAATCCATAAGAAACAATCGGGTTTATTCAAGAACTTGTTCTAGAAAAACTGGGATGTCCTTTAATTGTATTTAAGATCATGTACAGTACTTTAACTGATACATATGAATAATAATAACGTTAATAATAATAATAATTGGTCCTATATTCTATCGTCTAATAGAATTAGAATATTCTTTTGAAAATATTGTGTAATCCATTGATTCCATCTAGATTTGCAAAATGATTAATAGTGTGACGTCTCTCTTTTGTAAGTTCTTCTTTCCCTTTGATATTTAAATTTCAACATAGTTGGTTGAAGATCACTCCATCAAATCCAATAACCAATATCTACAATATCAATCCAGCCACATATTATACTTTTCTAGTTGATTATGCTACCAATTGGTGGTTCTTTAAGTGAAAAGTTGTTGATAGTTTGGGGTGGTTTCGTTTTGTGTAATTCCAAAATTAATTTTACGTAATGGTGCATCATCCCGATGACTCAAATTTAAACTTTTTATTGTTTGTCAATTTGTAACATTCAAATTTTACTCTGCTTACATAATAGAACGTGACACATGACGGCGGAAATGAGCAAAAAAAAAAGTATTACTTTCTGTTTACCGTTGTCAATCCCACCGTGTGGACCAATTAACAACCATCACGTGAACAGTCTTAAACCGCGGTTACGTATTTATTGGAATTATACTTGGTAAACGACGGCACTGTTTACTATAACTACAACCAGCATTTCTTGTGGACACTAACAGCAGTCACAGAGGTTATTAGGGTCATCATGTTGTGGGCTGAAGAGATATGAATCAAACCACAAACTATTGATGAGCAATGAATATCAACGACATGATGTTAATTATTATTCGAATTTCATATGCATACTACCATGTGTATATGTTGATTTTTGTCTTTTTTTTGGAAATAACTTTTGGACAAAGGAGAAAGGACAAAGGACTCGTTCATACGTCATGTTATAAGCATCAACATCACGACTTGGTTTAACTTTTATGTGTAAAAGTGGTTGATTCTTAACAAGATATAGTAGAACAGATCAGATATTTCGAATACTTGATTGGCAGGGTGGATACCAACAGAGTGATTTGAATTGATGGTGGTATTAAAAAAACCCTTAGCGAACCCTTAGTGAACCCTTTTTTTTTTGTTCAAAATTATTTGTTTATTTTCTTCTTGTAGTAGTTGTTCGTTCATTTGATCGGTTCATTATAATATTCCACATCTTACATTATACATATTCCTACATTAAAACCACACAAAATTATCAACGGTCCTTTCACAGCCTCAAGAAAAAAATAAAAAGAAAAAGAAAATCGAAATAAGTTAACTTAAAATCGATTTGTTTATAAATAAATCAACTGCAACTTTTAAGTTAATCTCATAACCCATTATTATTAATCCAATAAATATTGTGAAATTTTTATTTTTTTGGAATGTTTTCCTTCTCTGTGTTCACCCATCAGGTATTCATTATCAAACCAGCATCTCCCCCAACTCCCCGCCCCCCCCCCTTTTTTGTCGTCGTGTAGTAAAGAATGGATATATGGCATTCTTGTTTTCTCTTTTTTATGATAAATGTATATATTACCATGCATAAATGGGTATGTCTAAGTAAAACTAAAATACTTACATATACCACGTTAAGTGCTTTTTTCTTTATTTTATTTTATTTTAGATTTCGCTATTGAAATTAAAAATTATCATAATTGAACGTCTCTTAAGATTACCTTTCCCCGTCCCATGCTTGTTTATTAAAATCTTATGAATTATAATTAACTTAATTTAAATTTATATCATTCGTTTATATATGACCTATTAATTTTGTTTCTTCATCCGCGATCATTGGTGTGATCCCAATTATAATAAACTTAATTTGGTCCTTCTTTTCTTCTGTGATCACAATATAAATCAAATCTCTCTCGCCAACTCTAAACGGTCACAATAATAAATTTAAATCAATATTTTAACTATCATTCTCTGATAAAAATAGGAATGGTTTGGAGAATACAAAGATTTTGATTTTGATATTTTTTATAGTGGTATAGTATTTCAAGTGAAAAAAAAAAGAAGCACAATCACGAGTGCCGCACAGTACACTACAGTACACTACATTACAGTAGTTTGCCTTTTTTTTTTTGTCTATTTTATTATTATTAATTCTAGTTTGCACTAAAAAGAATCCTTTTGAACTCCTGGGCAATTATAAAAGCCGGAAATATCGTATGATTTCAACGTATGTTTCAAAGGAGTCTGAAAAATCTGAAAGGGTTCCTTTCAATAATGTCAGTGTTTGTGAAAGATAGGTTATGTCCGTATACCTTTTAATAATGGCTGAACTTGTTTAGTTAGATAATATCGAGATTAATCAATTGATTTTATCCAAAAGGCGATGTAAATGTACGCCTCATTCTAAACCCAAAATAAGGGGGCGACAGGAAAGTAGAATTACAATGGATACGTAGAAAAGTTGTTTTCCGATCATATACTTAATTGGGAATAATTCAAAATACAAGGGCATATCTACTCCCAGAATATTACAATTATTGAACGAGAATAATAATAATACCAGACCCTTTCTTTTCAATAATAATCACCCAAGAGTTTGTGATATTTATAGATTATCTCTTATTGTGTTATCTTTTTGATTCAAGCTGTTGAATGGGTTGGATCAAAAAAAAAAAAAATTTCACTTTTTCATCGCAATTTTTTTGTCTTTTTCTAATTGCATGTCTTTAAGCCGCTAGTAAAATAGAACAGAATAATTTCTAGGTTATACGTTCAGTTATTGTAATCTATTTTCTTTTGTTGCCCTTGTGGTGGAATTTTTCGTAAAAGCAAGTCTTTTCATATATGTGAAAGATTTTTGTCTACATGTCTTCTAGGTAACTACATCATTATTTCAGTGGCATTGGTTTCTTTACTTATTCTTGTTAGAATCATATTTTGACATATCATCTGGAATGAGGACAAGTGGTTACACAGGTTCAAAACGAAGATGATATGTATTCAATTAATGGTTTTAGAAAAGAATTTTAAAATAAATCTACAAGCAGTTGGAGATAGGCGGAAACCTTAGTTTCACATTCCTAATAGAAAGGACAAAGGATCTGACTAAATATAATTTTAGTCTATCTCGCACGTGACATGGTGCGTGCGTCAAAGAAAAAAAAATAGATTGCAACATCAAAAAGAAATCGGAATTTCTTTTTTTTTGCGTTTTTTTTCGCATCCAATTGTACCACAAATCAATAATCACATCCCATCTTTGAAATTAATGAAAACCAAAAATTACAAAACACGTCTTTTGTGATTAGACAATAAAAAAAAAAGAAAGAAAAAAAAACTGCTAAAATAGGAAAAATTTCTTATTGGTTTTAGTTGGCTACACCTTTCATCAC